TAATCCCAGCACTTGGGAGGCAGAAGCAGGAGGATCACTGTGAGTTCAAAACCAGCCTGGTCTACAAGAGCTAGTTCCAAGACAACCTCCAAAGCCACAGAGAAACCCTGTCTTGAAAAACCAAAAAAAAAAAAAAAAAAATTTATGTCTTAGTATAGACATTAGTGTTTAGTTATATAAAATGTTATCATGAGAAAGTGTTAGATCTCAAAACCCCAGGACAAACAGCCAACTGAGGTGCCCATTCAACATATCACAGAGGACTTTGGCCTCTCCCTCAATGCCTACCTGTTAGAGAGTCCAGGTTCCCCAGTACTTCTCACCCCACCCCCTACCTCACCTTGCCAGCCCCAAGCTCACTGCCATTTTGGTTATGCAGACCTTGATATCCCTTGGCCGCCAGCTCTTGATTCCCATTCTCCTGGCCTTTTGGCTTCTGCCCCCCCCCCTTCAGTCTTCTTATGTTGGGTTCAGTCTTCTGCTCTGCTCATGTTCACTCTGGAGTCTCCCAAATGTCTCCCTCTGCCTATGCTCACCCCTATAATAACAACCACAGACCCCGCCCGGTGGTGGTGCAAGACACCCAGCACGTGGGAGACCAGAGGCAGGGGGATCTCTGTGAGTTCAAGACCAGCCTGGTCTACAGAGCCAGTTCCAGGACAGCCTTCAGGAAGTCCCTGAAACTGACCAGATTCACTAGGCCCCTTCTTTCTAAGGAGACAAGCTGCAAAGAATCTCTCAGAGGTCTGGAGAGATGGCTTAGAGGTTAAGAGCATTGGCTGTTCTTCCAAAGGTCCTGTGTTCAATTCCCATCCAATAATGGTGGCTCACAATCATCTGTAATGAGATGCCCTCTTCTGGCATACATCACGTAGAGCACACACACACACACACACACACACACACACAGATACACACAAAGTCTCAGAAAAACTAAGTTGCAAAGACCCTGAGACTAGTCCTGCTGCCTGGCAGAAGTAGAACCACCAGCAGCAGCACCTGGAAAGGACACTGTCCAACCTGTTGAGCTGCCTATGGGCTGTGCAGTGTGCTCCAGGTTCCCAGCTTTTGTGAGCTGTCATCCATGCTAAGTTGGACTTTGAATCATTTCTGTTCCTGTAAGTAACCCCTCAGGCATATCCGTGTAAGTAACCCTAGTAAAACGCATTGGTTTAACAAGATGGAATTTGGTCCTATCCTGTAGTGAGCCACATACCTAGGTGTGAGTCAAGTCGATGTGTGTGTTCCATTTGCCCAGGAAGAGATGTCACACAATAGCTTCCCCAAACACATCACAAATAGACAAACATACTAAGATTGCAGATATATTTATCAAGAGTTCCTCTTATTAGATGTCTACTGCTATTATGGCTTGTCTGAACCACATTATCTGTTAGGATGTTTGAGCACAGAAATAGTGAAATAATGTGCCCTGCCATGATGTGATGGACTTTTTTTTTTTTTTTTTTTAGTTTTTCAAGACAGGGTTTTTCTGTGGCTTTGGAGGCTGTGTCCTGGAATTAGCTCTTGTAGACTAGGCTGGTCTCTTAACTCACAGAGATCTGCCTGTCTCTGCCTCCCCAGTGCTGGGACTAAGGCTTGAACCACCACCGCCAGGCTTGATGGACATTATTTAATATAGCCAAGGTTGATGTGGAACTCACAACCCTGCAAAGCGCTAAGACTGCATGTGTTTGGAGCTGTAGAGATGGCTCAGCAGCTAAGAGCACTTGCTACGCTTCCAGAAAACTGGTGTTCAATACCCACCCACATGGTGGCTCACAAGCATCTGTAACTCCAGTTTCGGGCATCTGATACCCTGGTCTGCCCTCCAATGACATTGTATTCATGTGCTATACAGGCTTACATTCGGGTGAATATTCATACACATAAAATAAAATAATAAAATCTCAAAGGGGGAGAAAACATGCATTTGGGCTGGGCAGTAGTGACACATGCCTTTAATCCCAGAACTCAGGAGGCAGAGGCAGGCAGGCAACAAAAGCTACACAGGGAAACCCTGTCTTGAAAACACAAACAAAAAACACAGCCTCTGCCTCCAGAGTGCTGGGATTAAAGATGTGTGTCACCACTGGCCAGATGACAAAACAATCTACCTTTTAAGCAGCAGCTATTTTCAAGAATAGTAAAAGTACATTAAAAAATGAATGTGGTCAGTGGTGGTACCAAACCAATTTAATCCTAGCACTAGGGAGGCAGAGGCAGGTGGATCTCAGAATTTGAGGCTAGTTTGGTCTACAGTGTAAGTTCCAGGACAAACCTGGACTGTTACACAGAGAACCCTGACTCAAAAAATAAAACAAAACAAACAAACAACAGCTGGGAGTTGGTGGATGGAAAACAGCATTTTAAAAAAGACAACTATAAGCCAGGCGTTGGTGGCACAAGCCTTTAATCCCAGCACTCGGGAGGCAGAGGCAGGAGGATCTCTGTGAGTTTGAGGCCAGCCTGGTCTCCAGAGCAAGTGCCAGGATAGGCTCCAAAGCTACACAGAGAAACCCTGTCTCGAAAAACCAAAACCAACCAACCAACCAAACAAACAAACAACAAAACTACACCAAGAACTTTCACCCATTGATAGCACTGTTGCATTTTAATTTGGTTCTTTGGCCATTAACGTCTCAGCATTAGTGAAATTGTTTATGAGGATTTTTTTTTTTTTTTTTTTTTTTTTTTTTTTTTTTTTTTTTTTTGGTTTTTGGTTTTTCAAGACAGGGTTTCTCTGTGGCTTTGGAGGCTGTCCTGGAACTAGCTCTTGTAGACCATACTGGTCTCGAACTCACAGAGATCTACCTGTCTCTGCCTCCTGAGTGCTGGGATTAAAGGCGTGCGCCACTAACGCCCAGTTGTTTATGAGGATTTATCAACTCTTGTGTCGGGAACCTCAAAGCCCAATCAAGGCACTTCAAAACCAAGTTCTCAGCTCAAAGGAGATTTATTTGCCCCAGAAGGACACAGAGCTAGGGCAAGGGACAAAGACAGGAGATAGAGAAAGAGGGGGAAGGGGAAGGGAATAAGGGAGATCAGGAAGAGATACTTATCCCAGGGGACCAAGGACTGGCTCTGGATAGGATCGAAAGGAGACAGAGTTGGTCCATAGTCAAGCAGCAGTTTGTAAAGGTAAAAGGGGAAACCCCATGTTGGGATGAGGTGTTGGTGAGCCAAATGGGGCTTTTGATTGCTTCAATAATTTGATAGCAGTATGTTGGTAGTTAGCCACTGGAGGAAGAGGCCAAATAAGGGGGTAGACCTTGGGGGCTAGTTTCAGGAATGTAATCTAATGGTTTTTTAGCAAGGCAGAGGGAATGGGGGTGTGACAGCTACACTTGGTCATCAACTTGACTATATCTAGAATGAACTACAGTCCAGAAATGAAGGGCATGCCTGTGATCTGGACCTTGAGGGAGGAAGACACAGGCTTTTGGTCCAGATCTTGAGGTGGGGATGCACAAACCTTTTATCCAGATTTTGAGATAGGAAGTCATACCTTTAATCTGGGCCATACCTTCTGCTGGAAGTCTGTAAAGGACATGGAAGAAGGAAGGGATTGTTCATTCTCCACCTGCTTACCCTTGCCTTGTGAGCACATCCATTCCTTCTCTGGCACTGGAGTCTAATTCTTAGGATTCCAGCAGATTCAGAAATTGTTGAATTAGCTCGACAGTAGCCTATAAGTCATTCCAATAAATTTATAAGTTCTGGGACTCTGAGAGCTCTCTAGGGGGAGAAGGGCAAGGCCTGCCAGAGCCATGTTCGCCATGCTTGAGTTGGATAGAGTCCTATCAACAAGACGTTGACTGAAGACATTTTTTTTTTAAGTTACTCTCAGAATAGTGGTCACTAAGCATTTTTTAAAAAAGATTTTATTTATTATGTATACAACATTCTGCTTCCATGTATATCTGCACACCAGAAGAGGGCACCAGATCTTATAGCGGATGGTTGTGAGCCACCATGTGGTTGCTGGGAATTGAACTCAGGACCCCTGGAAGAGCAGTCGGTGCTCTTAACCTCTGGGCCATCCCTCCAGCCCCGACTGAAGACATTTTTGTCATTCATATTGTAGAGAAGTAGTTAAGCTGTATATTTTCACTGGTGTAATAAAATGTGACACAATGATAATTGTGGTGGAGTCAGACACGTGGTAACTGGAACAAATAAAACTGCTTTAATCTAAATTCCCATTAATAATTATGAAATTGTTAAAAATTCGCTGGGCGTTGGTGATGCACGCCTTTAATCCCAGCACTCGGGAGGCGGAGGCAGGAGGATCTCTGTGAGTTCGAGGCCAGCCTGGTCTCCAAAGCGGGTGCCAGGATAGGCTCCAAACCTACACAGAGAAACCCTGTCTCAAGAAAACAAACAAAAAAACCGGAGAGAAAGAAGAAAGAGAGAGAAAGAAGGAAGGGGAAAGGAAGGCAGAAGGGAAGCAAGCATTAGGTTGAGAGGAGACGCCGACTCTCCGGGATCACACTTAAAACGCGAAGCCGTGAGCACGAGCCAATCGGTGACGGCCGGCTAGAAATCCCGCGGCAAAGACGAGCCAGCCAATTTTCGCGAGATTTTAGTACTTTTTTTTTTTTTTTTTTCTTCTTCCTCTGTCGCGCAGGAACACGATTAATCTCGCGATCTTTGGGAAGTTCCGTTGGGGAAGATGGCGGCGGCCGCGAGCTCCCTTCTCTTCTTGCCGCCGGGGACTTCAGACTGAGCCCTCCCCGGAAGCGCGGGGGCCGCTGCGGCGCCGCTCCCCCGGAGCTCAGGACAGCCTGGTTCCGCTCCCGGCCGTGGGGAAAGGCTCACGCTCCCCTGGCCGGCCCGAGGCCTCGCGGCTGTCAGGATGAAGGCTCAGGGGGAAACCGAGGGTGAGTGGCTGAGGGGGGGTCGGAGGGGCGGGACTCAGCGGCGGGGAGCCAATCGGCGAGAGAAGTGGGACCCACGCCCCCCGGGCCGCGGCGCCCGGAAAGGGTCCCCGCGGAGCGTGTGTCAGGTTCCGACTGCGCCCGAGGAGGCTGCGGGGCGCCGACTCTGAGGTGGCCTCCCCTCGCCTCGCCTCCCCTCCCGCTTTGTGGACGGCTTTCTGCCTGACTAGGGACGGAGCAGTCGAGCCTCGGGGTAGCTCAACCTGGTGGGACATGAGGAGAGTGACGTGGACACTTGTTTACTCTTTGTTCCAGCAGCGGTATCTGAGGGTGACAGTAGAGACAGAAGAGCAAGGTGTCAGGGTGATCCAGGGTGTCCTAGTGTGAGTGACACGGTGAGGCCTTCGGTTTCTTCCCCGAAATGTCACTGCTCAAGCCCCGCGTTGCGAATTTAAAAGCTGCTCCTCTAATTGTGCTTGGATAGCGTGGCTTTAAAGAGAAATTGGGAGAATGTGTTAGGCACAATCCCCAAACCACTTCCCCAGAAGAGGGCAGAAAAAGGAAGAGATTGAATCTTTTTTTGTTTTGTTTTGAGACAAGGATTTCCCACGAAGCCCAGGTTAGCCTTCAACTCAGGATAATCTTCCTGCCTCAACCTCCCTAGTCCTGGCTTACAAACCTGTACCCTCTGGATCAGCTAAGTTTTTTGTTTGTTTGTTTGTTTGGTTGATTTTTTTGTTTACTTTTTGTTGTTTTTGTAGTTTTCGCTTTTTTTTTTTTTTTTTTTTTTTTTTTTTGTTTTTTTTTTTTTTTTTTTTTTTTCGAGACAGGGTTTCTCTGTAGCATTGGAGGCTGTCCTGGAACTCACTCTGTAGACCAGGCTGGTCTCTTAACTCAAGAGATCCTGTTCCTCTGCTTCCCGAGTGCTGGGATCAAAGGTGGGCGCCACCACCACCCAGCTAGGTTCTCGAAAGAGTTTGAATCTTGGTTTAGATCCTTTCCCCACTACGTTAACTCATATCAACTGGCTCAGCCAAGTGAAGTCATGACAGTTGTAGGGAACTGGATTGCAAAATAAGCATACTTAAACCAATAGCACTTTTTTCCCCTCTCTTATGAGGAGTCTAGTCTTAGTATTTGTGTGCATGCTGGTTGTGAAAATATGGAACTATGTAAGGAGATTATTTATTTATTTTTCAAGGCAGGGTTCCTGTCTGTTCTAGAACTGCTCTGTAGACCAGGCTGGTTTCAGCCTCACAGAGGGGGTAGAGGTAGGAGCATCAGGAGGCCAAGGGCATTCCTCACATTCATTTATTTGTTTGTGCGTGAAGCCATCTGCCTGCCACAGGGTAAATGTGGCCATCAAAGGACAACTGGCAGGAGTCAGTTATCTCTCCATGTGTGGACTCTGAGGATAGAACTCAGTTTACATGTTTTGGCAGCAGGTGCCTTAATTCACACTGAGCCATCTTGTGAGCCCTCAAGATCATCCTCTGCCAGATAGACCGGGAAGTCAGCATGGGCTATGAGACACAATCTCAAAAAGGGAAGAGGGAGCTCTGTGTGTGTGTGTGTGTGTGTGTGTGTGTGTGTGTGTGTGTGTGTCTGTCTGTCTGTCTGTCTGTCTGTCTGTCAGTCTGTCAGTCTGTCTGAGTGAGATTAAGAGCCCTCACTTCCCAGTGTGTCTGAGTGATGAGGAGCCCTTGCTTCCCAGAACGCACACTCCCACATGCAGCTCACAACCATCTGTAACTCTAGTCCTAGGGGTCCTGGTTGCCACCTTCTGGCCTCTTGAGTATTGCACAGACATGATGAACATACATGCAGGCAAAAAAAAGTCACATATAAGTAATTTTTAAAGAAGTATGTATTTTATGTGTGTAGTTGTTTTGTCTTTATGTATTTCTGGGTACCATGTGCATAGCTGGTGCCTTGTGCCACCACCATCCGGCTTTCAGCTGGTGTTCTTAAAAGCATAGGTTGGGAATTGTGGAACACTGCTTTGATCCCAGTGCTGAAGAAGCAGAGGCAAATGGATCTTTATGTGTTCAACTGTGACCACAAACAAACCACTTTTGGGCTGGGGAGATCCAAGGCAAGGACAGCAAGTTTTCCTCTGACCCTCACAGGCACTGTACTCAGCACTTATACAACATACATAGACATAAAGACATTAATAATAAAAAGGTTCGTTTTGCTTTTGTTACTAGTAGTATTTTATTTATTTGTTTTTAAATTTTAGAAGCACTCTTATTTACATATCAATCCCCCATTCCCCACCTTTCCATCCTACCCCGCCCCCCAGGGGTGTCAGATCCCCTGGAACTAGAGTTGGATATGTTTGTGAGTTTCTGTATGGATGCTAGGAATCTAACCACATCCTCTTGAAGAGCAGCTAGAGCTCTTAACTACTGAGCCATTTTTCTAGCCCCTTGGTTTTTAGTATCCTTTTTGAGACAAGGTTTCCTTATGTAGATTAGTCTGTAGTTATTTTGTTGTTGTTGTTTTCAAGACAGTGTTTCTCTGTGTAGCCCTGGCTGTCCTATAATTCACTCTGTAGACCAGGCTGGGCTTGAACTCAGAGATCCGCCTGTCTCTGCCTCTGAGTGCTGGGATTAAAGGCGTGCACCACCAATACCTGGCTTTGAGTGGAATCTTAATATTTCCCAAAGGAGCGCCACCGCCCAGCTGGGATTAAAGGAATGCACCACCACCCACCGCTCGGCCACTAGGCTGTTCTTGATATCACAAAGACATGATTGCTTCTGCATCCTGAGTGCTAGGATAGAAAGTGTACATTCATGCTTGGCATGAAAATTGAAAGCTAGAGGGCTGGAGAGGTGGCTCAGAGGTTAAGAGCACCGACTGCTCTTCCAAGGTCCCGAGTTCAATTCTCAGCAACCACATGGTGGCTCAAACCATCTATAATGAGATCTGGTGGTGCCCTCTTCTGGTGTGCAGATATATATGGAAGCAGAACACTGTATGCATACTAAATAAATGAATAAATCCAGGGAAAGAAATTGAAAGCTATTTTCTAAGATGGACAGCTATTTTCTAAGGTGTACACAGTGTATACATGTAGTCACAGCTATCCAGGAGACTGGGGCAGGTGGATTGTTGGGGCCAAGAAAGTGGACAACTTAGTAAGATCCTGTCTCTTAGGAAAATAGAAAATTTCATGGGTGAGTACATTAGAGACATGGTCTTTCTCTTTAGCTCAGGTTGGCCTTGAACTCACATACCTCCTACTCCAGTGCTCCCATTGAAGGTGTGGGCAACCATGTCTAGTTTTCTTTATGTTTTGGAGTAAATGATATTAAAAATATTTTGGCGGGTCTGGAGAGATGGCTCAGGAGGTAAGAGCATTGGCTGCTTTTCTAGAGGTCCTGTGTCCAATTCCCAGCAATCACGTGGTGGCTCACAACTATCTGTAATAGGATCTGATGCCCTCTTGTGATGTGCAGGTATACATGCAGAGCAGTCATACATAAAATATAAATACATTAATTAAAAATATTTTGGCAGTTACAGAGGTTCTTTGTAAGAGAAATGATGGAAAGTCTTGATGTGAGAGTGTCTAATGTTTTCTGCTTTACATTATAGAGTCGGAAAAGCTGAGTAAGATGAGTTCCCTCTTGGAACGGCTCCATGCAAAATTTAACCAAAATAGACCTTGGAGTGAAACCATCAAGCTTGTGCGTCAAGTCATGGTGAGAGTTATGGCTACATGGGGAAAGCAAAAAGATAACAATTTAATAAATTAGCCTTTCTGTGTGTAATTGTTACTAGTTACAATGCTGTATCCTCATTCATAGAACACCTGAATGCATGGTAGGTATTGGTTTCAGGGAGCAGCTTAGGAAGAAAGTGGCTTGAATTCCCTTATCTACGGGGAATCTCCTGTATACTTTTTATTTCTCTCCTGTATACTTTAAGCAAATCTCTACATTATATATACTAGTTAAAACAGTACAAATACCAAGTAAATATTTGTTCTGGTGTGGTGTTCATTAAGTACAGAGTAATATTTTTTTTTCCGCTTCATAAACATAATCTTGCCAGGTGATGGCAGAACACACCTTTAATCCTAGCACTCCAGGAGGCAGAGGCAGAGGCAGGAAGATCTCTGTGAGTTGGAGGCCAGCCTGGTCTACAGAGCAAGTTCCAGGACAGGCAGAGCCACAGAGATACTCTGTCAAAAATAAGCATAATCTTTGGTGTCTTTCTCTGGCTGGGCTTGAACATCTTTTGGTAAGGCACCCAAGCTGGCATTGAATTTGTTCTGTAGCTCAGGCAGGCTTTGAACATAAACCCTCCTGCTTCATCGTCCTAGGTAACCTTTATCACAGTCCTCTGGAGTGAGGGTCTTCTATGTGTGTGGCAGTCTTGCATTAGCTCCCCAGGTGCTGAGGTAACAGTTGAGTACCACCACTCCTGCTCTATTCAGTTTTTCTTTGTTCTGTCTGAAATAGGGTCTCAGTTATTCTTTTTGGTTTTTGATTTTTTTTTTCTTAACTGTTGATTGGTACCCATTCGATGTTAATGCCTTTCCCTATTACTTCCCTCTGAGTCATAACCCGATGTGGTGATATTGAAGTACTTCAGTGGTAGGTGGAGCACAGGAAAAGTGTGCTACGTTTTCATTCACATCACTATTGTCTCCTCCCCACCAAAGGGAGGATAAGGTTTATTACCACTTACCTGACCAATCGTAGAAGAACTAAGTTTAGCTGGGCGTGGTGGTGCACGCCTTTAATTCCAGCACTCAGGAGGTAGAGGCAGGCGGATCTCTGTGACTTTGAGGCCAGCCTGGTCTATCAATATAGTGAATGCCAGGACCAGATCCAAATCTACACAGAAACCCTATGAAAAAGAACGAAGTCCGTTAATAAAGAACTGTATTTTAGAGGCAAGGAATTTAATTTAGCCTAACATGTATGAGGTACGCAGTCATTCACTAGCACCAGAGGATAAATGAACCAAAATCAAACCCCTCTATTTCAGATATGATTGGAGTACTTGCTACCCCTTCGACTTTGAATAAATTATGTAATCTCTGTGAATTTCTATTTCTTCATGGAAGCATATAATGCTTGCTTGTTTTCCAAGGTTTTCTTGTTTTGATTTCATATGTGTGGATGTTTTGTCTGCATGTATATCTGGGCCAAAAAGGGGCATCTGATCCCCTGGAACTTTAGTACAGATGGTTGTGAGCCACCTTGTTGGATACTGGGAATCAAATCTGGGTCTTCTGTAAGATTAGCCAGTTTTCTCAACTGCTAAGCCATCTCTCCAGCTCCTAATTTGCTTTTCCACAAAATTTTGTTGTAAGGATCATAGAGCTAGCAGACTGGTGAGAGTGACCTTGAAATGACCTTTAGCCCACATCTTTCCAGCTCTGAGTGCAAATGCCACCATAGCCAGTTACTGCCTTGCTGGAGATTGAAGCCAGGAATTTGTGCATGCTGGCCCATGGTTCTCCCAGCTTTTTACCATCCTGGTAAAAAGGTTTATAAACTATGAGTTTTATAAGTGAGCACATGTGCATCCTCATTTTGATTCCATACAAAAAAGCATTATTGTTATTTATTTATTTTTTAATTTTAGAGGCACTCAGTTACATATCCATTCCCCCATTCCTTTGCCCTCCCATGTTCTCCCCAACCCCCCCCAACCTATCCCCCAATTCCTCCCCAGGGATAGTGAGGGCCCCATGGGGGACCTTTAAAGCCCATCATATCATTTGGGGTAGTGCCTACGCCCTCCTTGTTGTAGCTGGGCTGCAATGAAGTATTATTGTTTTCAAGATAGGGTTTCTCTGTATAACAGCTCTGGTTATTTTGGAACTCCCTTTGAACTCAGGTTGTCCTGGAACTCACAGAGATCTGCCTGCCTCTGTCTCCTTGGGTTGATAAATCCTGATAAACAAAATTTCACTATTGCTGGGAAGTTTGTGGCCTCTGGAACCAAAGAACCAGATTAAAATGCAACAGTGATATCAATGGGTGAAAGTTCTTTTTTTTCTTTTTCTTTTTTGGTTTTTCCAGACAGGGTTTCTCTGTGTAGCTTTAAAGCCTATCCTGGCACTCACACTGTAGACCAGGCTGGCCCCAAACTTACAGAGATCTGCCTGCCTCTGCCTCCAGAGTACTGGCATTAAAGTCATGCACCACTAATGCTCCGCCCCAAAAATTTTTTAAACATTTATTTGTTATGTATACAGTGTTCAGCCTGCATGTATCCCTGCAGACCAGAAGAGAGCACCAGATCTCATTACTGAAGGTTGTGAGCCACCATGTGGTTGCTGGGAATTGAAGTCAGGACCCCTGGAAGAAGAGACAGTGCTCTTAACCACGGAGCCCTCTATCCAGCCCCCATCCAAAAAAAATATTTCAATTTCATGCTCTTTTTCTTTTTCTTATTATATAATTTGCTTTGTCTCATACATACTCTAAATTGATTACTTTGTAATCTTCCTGCCTCTGTGACAATTGTTTGTCACCCATTTGTGAACCATCCTTCCCCCATCCCCTTTTTTTAAAAAAAGAATTGGGATTTGTTTATTTTTACTTTCTAGGTTTACTTATATGTTTGAGTGTTTTGTCCTTTTATTTATGTGAACCATGTCAGTACCTGGTGGCTCCGGAGGTCAGAAAAGAACATCTGTTAGATCCTGTGGAACTGGAGTTTCAGATGGTTGTGATAGATGGCTGTGAGTAGCCTTGAGGGGTGGCTGGAGTCAGACCTGGGTCCTCTTGAAAAGCAACAAGTACTTCTTATTTGCTGAGCCATCTCTCCAGCCCCTCCAGCCTTTATTCTTTATTCTCTGACAGGGTATCACTGTATTGCCTGGAACTTGCTATACAGACCATGTAGGCCTTGAAATCACAATGACTCACTGGCTTCTCCCTTCCTAACGCTGGGCTTAGAGGTGTGTGTGCCACCACACCTTATAGATTTATTTTCAATTCTGACTCTGAGTGTTTGCCTGTGTGGTCCTAAACTCAGCGTGTGAATGCAATCCCTGTGGATGCTTAGAAGATGGTGTTGGGAATCCTGGCACCAGTTACAGGTTTTGAGCTATCACGTGAGAGCTAGGAACTGGTGAACCCTGGTCCTTTGCAAGTACAGGAAGTGCTGCTTTTAATCACTGAACCATCTCCCTAGCCCCACAGGAAGTTTTCTTTTTTAGGGGGGTGTTCAAGACAGAATTTCTAAGTGTAGCTTTAGAACTTGTCCTAGAACTTGATTTATAGACCCGTTTGGCCCTGATCTCAAAGATCCTCCTTCCTCTGCTTCCTGAGTCCTGGGATTTAAGGCATGCACCACCCGGATGCTTTTTTTTTTTTTTTCCTAAGGAGATAGGGTTTCTCTGTGTAGACCTGACTGTCCTGCAGCTCATTTAGTGGACTAGACTGGCCTTGAACTCAGAGATCCACCTGCCTCTGCCTCCTGAGTGCTGGAATTAAAGGGGTGAGCCACCACTGATAAGTGTTTGCTTTGTTTTTTGATGCAGGATCTCAGTTCATAGCCCTACCAGTCTTAGAAACCCTCATAGGTAGACCTGTCTGGCCTTAAACTCACAAACAGAGATTTTCTTGGGATTAAAGGTATTTGTCACCACTGACATGGTGATGTTGTCACTTATAGGAAGTAGATCTCACCAATGACATTTGGATTAGTAACAATACCCCCACCCACAAAGTATGACCTATAGTAGATAGTAGAATACATGGTTTACTATTGCGTGTGAGTGTGGATGTTTTTATCTGTGTGAACTTTTCTTCCTTTGGGTAGGTGGACAGGGTAGCAGGTTGTGGTGTGCACCTCTCATCTCAGTCCAGTGGCAATTCTCGGCTATAGGAGACATTCCAGACCCGAAATTACTTTGGGTTGGTGGGATGGCTCACCAAGAAAAGGGACTTCCTGCTAAGAATGATGGCTCGAATTTGATCTAGAACCCACATGGTGGAAGTACAGAACTAATTCCTAGACAGTATACTCTGAAGTCCATACGTGTGCACACAAGTCTGTCTCATACACACAAATTAATGTTACAAAATAACTCCCCCAGCACTCCCAGTGTTTCAGACTCCTTAATGTGATAGGGCGTTGGAGGTGCACGCCTTTAATCCCAGCACTCAGGAGGCAGAGGCAGGCAGATCTCTGAGTTCAAGGCCAGCCTGATCTATAGAGTAAGTACTAGGACAGGCTCTAAAGCTACACAGAAAATTCCCCTGACTTGCAGTGTCCCAAATCCCAGAATAAATCTAGGCAGGTCTCTGAGTTTGAGGCCAGCGTGGTCTACAGAAAGGTTACACAGAAAAACCCTGTCTCAAAAAACAAACAACAACAAAAAAAGAAAATTAAAAAAAAAAAAAAGACACCCCCCCCTTCCAAAAAAGTTCTCAGAGGGTGGAGGCTGGAGGATCAGAAGTTCAAGGTCATCTTTTGCTAGATAGTGAGGCAAAGCCAGCCTGTGCTAGAAACCTTGTCTCAAAGGAATCTGTAGTCAATTTTCAGTCTGTAACTTCCCTACTATGATAACATGTGTGTTTAACTGAAACATTGATGTTTTTGCTTCAATCATTTTGTGATTTGATATAGGAGAAGAGGGTTGTAATGAGTTCTGGAGGGCATCAGCATTTGGTCAGCTGCTTGGAGACATTGCAGAAGGCTCTCAAAGGTTTGTACACACCTTAACGAAGTATGCTGGTTTTATTAAAACTCACATTAAGGAGGGGAGGCTTTAAGAAAGGGATGATTTTGGGGGATGTCTGACTTTCAAGCCTAAATAGAAATATAAATTAAGAAGTGAGCTTGTTCCTGAAAATTTTTATTGATTTGTTTATGCTGTTTTGCTGATTGAAATGGAATCCAAGGCATCATGAATGCTGTGTGTTCTACCATTAAGATACATCCTTGACCCTCTTTATGCTGGTTTTCATATTTATCTTCCTTAACCTATCATTAGTAGATAGCCTAGGTTCATGAGTGTAGCTAGGAGTAGAGGTATAATGCTTGGATCTGTATTAGTTTCATATGGTTTCTCTAATGGATACCTTGACCTAAATAAGAAGTAATAAAAAAGGAGGATGCTGGGCAGTGGTGGCGCACGCCTTTAATCCCAACACTCTGGAGGCAGAGGTCAGCGGATCTTTTGAGTAGATCCTTGGTCTACAGAGTAAGTTCCAGACAGCTCCAAATTATACAAAGAAAAACCAGAAAGAAAAAGAAAAGAAACTCTGTTGGAAAAAAAAACAACAACAAAAAGCAATACACAGCAGTATGTTTCCTTGGTGCTTCTAAATCCAATCCAGTTGACATTGACTATGAAACGTCATACTCGCTGTGCTCAGATCACTTAATTACCTTGTCACCGTATCACCTGATTCATAGGTCACAGCTAAGCTTGGTGCAGATTATAAGCATCTGAACTGTTGGATATGTTTATGGAATATTCTTTATGAGTTCTTTTTCTCCTCTTCCCCATCTTTTCATAGTAACATCCTTGCCAGCAATGACTGATCGCTTGGAATCAATAGCCAGACAGAATGGGTATGTAACCTAATCTGTGGGCAGAAATGTTCAAAGCAGTGCTGAATTTGGGTAGCATCATTGTGTCTTTTATTAATTTTTGTTTTGATCTGTTCCTTCTAGACTGGGCTCTCATCTCAGTGCCAGTGGCACTGAATGTTACATCACTTCAGATATGTTCTATGTGGAGGTGCAGTTAGATCCCACAGGACAGCTGTGTGATGTGAAAGTGGCTCACCATGGAGAGAACCCTGTGGTAGGTGTCGATGCTTCACTGGAACCTATGGGGATTACTTAGGAACATCATGAAAAATGAATTATTGGGGCTCTGTGTAGCTTATCATTTAGGTATTTATTTATTTGCTTGTTTGTTTTTTCAGTTTGAGCTACTGCAGAGATGATGTGATGGGCTACATTGGTAGTTTTAGAATAAATTTTAGAGTATCTGGTCTGCTGCCATCATCCAAGGGCTTTGATGAGTGGAAACACCATAGGAATCCTTTTCATTTTATACTAACAAACTAGAACTTGGGTTGAATGAACAATAAATGCTGAGGATACAGAAAGACTCAATTCCCATTAAGAGCGATTATAATCAAGACAGATAATATGAAAAATCCTGCAATAACAATGTATATAATTAAGCAGTTTTATTTAGATTCCAAGGTGATGTTGAAGAGAGATATTAATGTTTTAAACAAACTACTTAAAAAATGATTTCCGCCCGGCGTTGGTGGTGCACTCCTTTAATCTCAGCACCTGGGAGGCAGAGACAGGCAGATCTCTGTGAGTTCCAGGCCAGCCTGGTCTCCAGAGCAAGTGCCAACCCTGTCTCACAAAACAAACAAACAACAACAAAAAAAATTCCTTTATAAATGAGTTCTTGTATTTGATTTTTAATATTCCATCTCAAATTCAAGGTGCGCATGTAGAAAGAAAATGCTTTCAAGTGGCTAGATGACTCAGTAAAGTCCTTGCTGCATAAGCATGATGACCTGAGCTCAGAACTCTAGCACCCAAATAAAGGGTGTGTTTATAATCTCAGTCTAGGGACTTCTGGGATTGAGACAGGCAGGTCCTGGATGCTTGTTGGCCAGCTAGCCTCCTGGAAACAGGGGTAAGCTCCAAGTTTAGCAAGAGACTTTGTCTCAAAACATAGGAAGGAGAGTGATACAGGAAGATAACAAAGGATACACACACACACAAACACACATATATACAAACACACACACATACCCCTACCTTTTGATTGCTTCGTTATGTTTATTTGTTTTTCAAGATGGTTCTCTGCTGTGTAGGTTTGGAGCCTGTCCTGACTCTGTAGACCAGGCTGGCCTCCAACTCACAGAGATCCACCTGCCTGTATCTCCCTGGTGCTGGAATTACAGGCATGCGCTACCATCATCCCACCTAGATATCATTGATTATCTTGATGTAAGAACTTTCTGTAGTTTTAATGTTTTTGGCATGTGTTATTAGCATAAAACTTCTGTTTTCAATTCTCTTAGTTTAGTTTAATGCTTTAACATAATTTCTTTAATTTCAGAGCTGTCCAGAGCTTGTACAGCAGTTAAGGTAAGCAGATAATATTTGTGTGTTCCTTTGCACTGACAGATAATCCTGTTCTTCCCTTGGAGGGAGATAGATGGACAGGGTCTTGCTTTAGAGTCCAATCTGGCCTAAATAGCTCAACATAAAGCTGTATACCCTTGCTGTTCTTCTTTTTTTTTTTCCTTGGTTTTTCGAGACAGTGGTTCTGAAGGCTGTCCTGGAACTAGCTCTTGTAGACCAACCAGGCTGATCTCAAACTCACAGAGATCCACCTGCTTCTGCCTCCCATGTGCTGGTAGGCACGCGCTACCACTGCTCGGTTTACCTTCTCATTATTACTGACATTTCTTTGCTCAAGTGAATTACTTGGTATATTGTAGGACATTATGCAGCATCCCTGGCCTTTCCCCTTGTAGTTGCCAATGGTATCCACCCAATTATGGTAATCAAAATTATCTGTATGAGCTGGAGATGTAGTTTAGCAGTGGGGCATTTGCCTAGTTTCTAAAACTTTGGGGGTTCAATACTTCTTTTTTTTTCTTTTCTTTTTTTTTGGGGGGGGGTGGAGGGTTGGAGACAGGGTTTCTCTGTGTACCCTTGGAGCCTATCCTGGAACTCGATCTGTAGACCAGGCTGTCCTCGAACTCACAGAGATCCACCTGCCTCTGCCTCTGGAGTGCTGGAATTAAAGGTGTGTACCACCACCGCCAGTGATTTCTTCTTGTTTTATTTTAATATTTTTTTTTCCTTAATCAGCTCATGGAATGGTAACACCCAAATCTTAGAATGGGTCTTGCCACTTCAGTTGTCCTAACCTAGATAATTCCTTACTAATATGGCCAGAGTCTTGTTTTGCTAAATCCCATCAAATTAACATTTAAGATAGAGCATTCCAGAATCCTACCATTGAATTGAGAATCATGAATATTTCTATACCATGAAAACAACTTTTTCACTTCACTTTTGAGAAAGCTGTATGTATTATAATCTTTCATAATAAAAGTAATAAACTTGACAGTCTTTTATCTGTTGGCAGCTTTTCCTACTGACTTGATTTTCCTCCTTGAATTGTGTGGGATTCCCATGTTTAAAATAAACCCAGACGCTGGGCATTGGAGGCCAGACTGGTCTCCAGAGCGAATGCCAGGATAGGCTCCAAAGCTACACAAAGAAACCCGGTCTCGAAAAACCAAATAAAATAAAGTAAACCCAGACTTAAGAGTTTCTGGTAATTTGAGGAAGTTCAGGTTTTTTTTTTTAAGCATAAGGGAATGCTCAGATAGCTATGAATGTCTTAGATTTTTAACTTTGGGGGAGTAGGTTTTATAGTCAGCCTTCTTAGTTTATTGTATTTATGGTTAAAGATACCAAATTTCAACCTTTACAATTTTTTTTTGTTTGTTTGTTTTGTTTTTGTTTTTCGAGATAGGGTTTCTCTGTGGCTTTGGAGTCTGTCCTGGAACTAGCTAATGTAGACCAGGCTGGCCTCGAAATCACAGAGATCCACCTGCTTCTGCCTCCCAAGTGCTGGGACTAAAGGCCCGCCTGGTCTCCAGAACGAGTGCCAGGATAGGGTCCAAAGCTACCCAGAGAAACCCTTTCTTGAAAAAAAAAAAAGTGTAATGTAGTTAAAGATGATGGTGTGTGTATATCTTTATTCATTCCCAATGTCACAGAGGCCACATAATATCAGACTAGCCTAAGATACATAGCACTACCCAAAGTGGTAATGTAATGTAAAATAAACCATATAACCATTTTTTTGGTTGTGAGCCTAGCCTTTAACGGCTGAGCCATCTCTCCAGCCCCATATAACCATTTTTTTAAGATTTTTACTTATATTGGTCTTTTGCCTGTAGGTAAGTCAGATCTTTTTTTGTTTGTTTTGTTTTTGTTTTTCGAGACAGGGTTTCTCTGTGGCTTTGGAGGCTGTGCTGGAACTAGCTCTTGTAGACCAGGCTGGTCTCAAACTCACAGAGATCCGCCTGCCTCTGCCTCCCCAGTGCTGGGATTAAAGGCATGCGCCACCAACATCTGGCTGTTTCCCGTTTTTTAATTTTATGTGTGTGAATGTTTTATCTGCATCATATTCTTATAGTGCTGGTGGAGGCCAAAAGAGCGGTCTTAAGTGTTGAGCTATCCTTCTAGTCCCCACATTTTGTTTTGTTTTTTTTCTTATCCTTTATTGACTATAAAACTCTTTGGGACCCTGGAGGTGGTGGCACATGCCCCTAATCCTAGGATCTAGGCCAGCCTGGTCTACAGAGTGAGTTCCAGGACAGCCAGGGCTATGGAAACCCTGTCTCAAAGAAGTAAAAACACAAAAAAACAAAATGCTCTTTTTGGGATAACGATGTGAGTAGATTATTAAAATGACTTTTAGATAGTCATGTTTTGAGTCTTTTTTATAGAATAAAGTCATAATTTCATGTTGTATTCTTTCTTTCTCCATCTTCCTGAATTCCCTATAGGGAAAAGAATTTTGATGAGTTTTCTAAGCACCTTAAGGGTCTTGTTAATCTGTATAACCTTCCAGGAGACAAGTAAGTAATTCATTTATTCATTTATGTAAGTTTTTGAGTATATGTCTATGAGCTGGTTTGGATTGCACATGTTCTTACTTCTGCTCTATTTTTATTCCTGGTTTCTATTCATGTTGTCATCCATAGTTCAGCTTCTGACTTCAAGTAATTTTTTTTAAAGATTTTATTTATTTATTTATTATATATACAGTTATCTGCATGCATGCTTACACACCAGAAGAGGACACCAGATCTCATTACAGATGGTTGTGAGCCAGCATGTGGTTGCTGGGAATTGGGTCCTCTAGAAGAGCAGCCAGGGCTCTTAACCTCAGAGCCATTTCTCCAGCCCAAGTATTTGTTTTTAAATTTTTATTTCATGTATATGGGTCTTTGTTTGCTTTTTTGGTGTGTGTGTCATCGTGAATTTATTTCCAGCATATGAGACTGGGTTCCCATCTTTATTTTAATCTAACTTGGATTCTGTTTAACTACATGACCCTTATAAAGGAAATAAACATAAGCTCTGGTAGTTCTAAATATAAAAATTTTTTGGATAAAAAAGTATAATAGCCCAGGCTTGACCTCAATATGTGGCTGAGGGCGCCCTGAATCCACAGTTTGCTCTTTGTTGAGGTTGTAGTGGGTGTGTGCTGCATCATACAGCTTTGTTAGTTTATTTGTACTCATTTTACTCATCTATTCATCTGTCTGTTTGTTTTTATTGGTCTTGCTCTTTGAAACAGAATCTCACTGTGTAGCTCTAGATGCCCTGGAACTCACTCTGTAGACCAGGCTGGCCGCAAACTCACAGAGATCAGCCTGCCTCTGTCTCCTGAGTGCTGGGATTAAAGGTGTGCAAACCATACTTGGCTTTGTGTCTTTTAACTATTTTTTATAAAGATTTATTTATCATGTATACAGTGTTCTGTCTGCATGTATGCCTGCATACCAGAAGAGGGCATCAGATCATTACAGATAGTTTTGAGCCATCATGTGGTTGCTAGGAATTGAACTTAGATCCTCTGGAAGATCAGCTACTGTTCTTAACCATTGAACCATCTCTCTAGCCCCATTTGTTTCCTTTATGATTCATTTATTTATTATGCATACTGTGTTCTGCCTGCATGTATTCTTGCACACCAGAAGAGGGCACCAGATCTCATTACAGATAGCTGTGAGCCAGCAAGTGCCTGGGAATTGAATTCACTACTTCTGGAAGTCAGTGCTCCTAACCGCTGAGCTATCTCCCCATTCCTCTAGCCCCATCTTTAAGCCATTTTTTAATAGTAAAACTTTTGGGGACTGGAGAGATAGCTCAGAGGTTAAGAACATGGCTGCTCTTTCAGAGGTCCCGAGTTCAATTCCCATCAACCACATGGTGGTTCACAACCATCTGTAATGAGATCTGGTGCCCTCTTCTGTCATGTAGGTGTACATGCATATAGAACACTGTACATAATAAATAAATAAATCTTTTTTTTTTTTTTTTTAAAGCTTGCTTCCAACCCTTGAGGGTTTCTGAGTCAGTACTTTTTGGTTTTATTGTTCTTTTGACATAGGGTCTCACTGTTAAACCTTGACTGGACTGGAACTTGCTTTGTAGACCAGGCTAGCCTGACCTTAGAGAGATCTGCCTGGCCTGTGTCAGTACTTGTGTTTACTTTTCAAGTGTTTAACTCATTTTCTCTTCATCTACTCTCCAGCAAACTGAAGACTAAAATGTATTTAGCTCTGCAATCCTTAGAACAAGACCTTTCTAAAATGGCAATTATGTACTGGTAAGACTGGCCAAAGAGGCCATTCTATATGACTCTCTTAGTTTGTCTTTCAGAGAGGATTTTTTTTAAGTCTTAATTTTTGCTTGGGTATACTCTGGGTATATCTGATTATATATCTTTCATAAGACTATATAGTATATATCTGTACTTGTCTTTTGCTGTTGCTTTCCCAATGATTATTGCATTCCATATTCTCAGTATCAGTATCACTGAGTTGTTGGCTGTTATTCCATAGGCTTGATCTGAAATATTTTCAAACTTGGGAAATTATCTGGTAAATAGTAGTCCTGTTGTATTTTTTTATTCATTAATTTAAGATGGTGTGTCACTAGGGTGCCCAGGCTGGCTGACATGGGATGTACCACTATTAGCTTCTCAAGTTATGGAATTATGGGAATGTATATACCTAACTTAGTTATACTTTTTACTCTGTTACATATTGATGTTTACTCGAAAATAGCCTACTGGTAAAATGCACTTCTTATATGTGCTGTTATAAGATAGAGTCACTTGATAGTAATATAAAACTTTTTATAGGCTTATCTCAGTATAAGACTGTACACTGAAACTGCCAGGTACTAAATTCAATCAAATATAGATCATTGGTCTTACAGGAAGGCAACTAATGCTACTCCGCTGGATAAGATCCTTCATGGAAGTGTTGGCTATCTCACTCCACGGAGTGGGGGTACGTTATCCTATCTTGATTATTTTGAAAATGTCTAGTTTTACTTTAAGGTTCTTTATTTTAATGTATTTGTGTGAGTCTGGTTTGCATGTTTGTGTGTGGAGCCCAGAGGAGGCCAGGTCCTATTCTACCACTCTTCCTTATTCCCTTGAGACAGAGTTTCTCAAGAAACCTGGACCTAGGCTAGCAGCCAGTAGTCAGCACCAGTGCTTGGATTATATGTGTGCACGTTGTCATGCTTGGCTTTTTACACGAGTGCTGAGATCCCAACTCGGGTGCACATGCTAGGCAACAGGCACTCTTACCCACTGAGCCATTTCCAGCACCCTTACTACCCTTTTATTGTTCTTTTGCAGTGATGGGAATGAAAACCAAGCTTTGTGCATGCTAGGCCAGGTATTCCACTCAGCCCCAAGGAGATATTTTAATTTTGCTTTGAGCTTGTGAAGACATAAGCTAAAGGAGACAATGACCAGTAATTTGAAATAACTTCTAAGATGTTAATACTTGCTGTCTCCCTTTTTTTGTGTGAAATATGTTGTTGTTCCTGAATCAGTAATCTTTTATTATATTCCATGAGAAACATGACTTTTCACATCTTTGCAACTCTGGTATTTTATTACATGAACTTTCTCTTTTTCTCGTGTGTGCATGCATGTTCTATTAAGAATGTGGAGGTCAGAGGACAATTAATGGGAGTGTCCTTCCACTATGTAGGTCTCTGGGAACTCAGGTAGTCAGACTTTATGCAAATGTCTTTACCTGCTGAGCTATTTCACTGACCTTATATACACTTATAGAAATGTGGTTTTTGTCTTTTTTTGAGACAGGGTTTCTTTCTGTAGCCTTGTCTATGCTGAAAATTGCTCTGTATACCAGGCTGGCCTAGAATTTACAAAGATCTGTCTGTCTCTGCCTCTTGTGCTGGGATTAAAGGTGTACATCACCAAGCCTGGCAATCTTTTTTTTTTTTTTTTTTTTTAATAAAGACAAGGTCTCTTGTAGTTGAGGCTGGTCTTGATCTTATTATGTGCATGTGGTCTTGAACTTCTGATTCTCTTGCTTCCTAGAGTATTTATCATTCTGCCTTTTTTGGGGCGAGGGAAGTTTAGAGACAGGGTTTCTCTGTGTATTTCTGTAGTCCAGGCTAGCCACCTGTCTCTGCTTCTGCTTCCCAAGTTTTCGGATTAAAGGCATTTACCTTTGTTTGTTTGTTTGTTTGTTTGTTTATGCAAATGGGTATTATGCTTGTACTATGCATGACATGCTCATAGAGGCCAGAAGAGGAGTTGAATTCCCCTGGAACTCAATTACAGATGGTTGTGAGCCCACTATATGGATGCTGCAAGTTGAACCTTGGGAGAATAGCTAGGGGTCCTGACTGTTGAGGCATCTTTCCATAGATTGAGTTGTATGCCGTGCTGGGACTCAAACCTTTGGGTGTGCTAGGCAAATTATCAACAGCACTACATTTTTTTTTTAATTTTTTAGATTTTTATTTATTTATTATGTATACAGTCTTCTGCCTGCATGCCAGCAGAGGGTACCAGATCTCATTCAAGGTGGTTTGTAATCCACCATGTGGTTGCCGGGAATTGAACTCAGGACCCTCTGGAAGAGCAGTCAGTGTTCTTAACCTATGAGCCATCTCTCCAGCCCCGATTTTTTTTTTAGGTTGAATCTGGAAGAGCAGGCAGTGTTCTTAAGCTCTGAGCCATCTCTCCAGCCCCCCAAGTGGATCTTGAACTCACTATATGTCATAGTCTGGCATTGAATTTTTTGTATTCCTCCTATACCCTAGGCTAATGTGAGCCACCACATTCAGAAATTGTGTGTATATAGATGTTTTAGTAGAAGTAATAAGGATTTCATTGAACTCAGGGCCCTTCATATTATAGGTAAGCACTCTATCACTGAGCTATCCCCAGATTTTTCTTGTTAGTTTGAGATCAGATTTCATATAGCCAAGACTCCTTAGCTTCTTGTTTTCTCTTCCAAGTGCCTAGATTATAGGTGAGCACCACCACAACTGTTAATGAATGCTTTTTTAAATGTATAATTTATTAATAAAAGTGCCTTAATGAGTTTAATTTATGATAGGTCATTTAATGAACATAAAATACTATGCATCTCCTTCTGACCTGCTGGATGATAAGACTGCATCTCCTATCATTTTGCATGAAAAGAATGGTAAGTGTTTGTTTTTTTTTTTTTGTACTTTGATACAGATCTCTTTATGTAACCTAGGCTGACCTGGAACTACCTATGTAATACAGGCTAGCTCTCAAATGTATTGTATAGTGATCATACATACCACTTCAGCCTTCCGAGAACTGAGGTCATACATATAAACTACCATACACAAGACAGGGTGACCTCTACCTCTTCAGTGTTGTGATTATAGGCATACACCACCACGCTCAGATTTCTCCATTGTGTTAAAAATATTTGTTTCTCTGTATTGCTTTGGAGCCTGTCCTGGAACTTGCTCTGTAGACCAGGCTGGCTTTGAACTCACAGAGATCCTGCCTGCACTACCAATGCCTGGCTTAATTTGGTATTCCTTAATAAATATGTTATCCTTTTAATATGTTCCAGATACAACACATACATATATCATATGCACCTCACATATATACATGTATATTATATACTTAAGTCTTTAAACATATGCAAGTAGCTCAATGCATAAATGAGTTAGTGATGAAATATAAATAACCACTTAAAATAACCAGCTTTCCTTAATACTTTAAAAGAGAAAGCCGTGTTTGTGACATGCTCCATGCCAGCATGGACCAGGCAGAAGAACCTGATTTGAAGGCCAGCCTAAGCTATGGAATGCTTAAACAAACAAACAAACAAATAAATGTGACCATTTGGTTTTGGTATTTTGAGGCAGGATGTCATGTAGTCACAACTGGGAGGGGCAGGGGGTCAACTTGCCTCAGACTTGTTATTTAACTGATGATGAAACTGGAACTTTGGTTCCTCTTGGCTCCTGGATTTACACCACCACCACACCTGGCTTGTGTTTGGACTAATATAGCAAAGGAGCAGAAGAAATAGCCCCCTAATTTATTTGACCCCATTATAACTTCAGTGATAGACTATCCTGTAATTATAAGCCCATTTAAATACATTGTGAAGTTGTGAATGAATATAAGCATTGATAATGAGCTCTTGAAAATCCCCCCACCTTCTCCAGGGCTATAGGAATTTAATCATTAGCAGAAAGAAATATTGATTGGCTATGGAAAGGTAGCTTGTAGTATTTTTATTTTATTATTATTATTATTATTATTATTATTATTATTTTTTTTTTTTTTTTGGTTTTTTCGAGACAGGGTTTCTCTGCGGCTTTGGAGCCTGTCCTGGAACTTGCATTTAGTTGTTTTGTTTCTTTTGGCCTCATTCACTGTGTAGCCCCTAATGATGTCTGCCTTTTTTTTCCTTCTTGTTACTTACTGTACTTTGTTCTACTTTTGAGAGTTGGTCCAATCTTGTAGTTCAGGCAGGCCTCTAACTCATCATTTTTCCTCCCTTGTTCTCCAGAATGCTGGGTTCACAGACTCAGGACCCTCATTCCTATCTGTTGTTTTGTTTCTTTTAGCGTTGTGATCCTTGTGATCTATGTTATGAGGAAGAAAATATTTTTTTCTTTTGTTTTTCCCAGTTCCTCGATCTTTGGGCATGAATGCATCAGTGACAATTGAAGGAACCTCTGCTATGTACAAACTCCCAATTGCCCCATTAATTATGGGGTCACATCCAGTTGACAACAAATGGTAAGTTAAATATGAATTTAAAGTAGTGAAGTCCATTTTTTCAGAATTAGGGCTCTTGAATTTCTATATGTTGCCCTTTTATTTCCATCTAGTAATTACTCTGTTATCTATATTTGAATGTTACTATTTGACATCTATGCATAGAACACAAACTTTTATGAATTTCTTTATAATAAAAAATTTTTTTTAAGATTTTATTTATTTATTATGTATACATCATTCTGCTTCCATGTATATCTGCACACCAGAAGAGGGCACCAGATCTCATAACGGATGGTTGTGAGCCACCATGTGGTTGCTGGTAATTGAACTCAGGACCTCTGGAAGAGCAGCCAGTGCTCTTAACCTCTGAGCCATCTCTCCAGCCCTAAAATAAAATTTTTTTAAAGATTTATTTATTATAGATAGACTGTTCTGTTCTGTCTGCATGTATGCCTGCAGGCCAGAAGAGGGCACCAGGTCTCATTATAGATGGTTATAAGCCACCATGTGTTTGCTGGTAATTGAACTCAGGACCTTTGGAAGAACAGTCACTGATCTTAACCGCTGAGCCATCTCTCCAGCCCCTATAATAAGTTAAAAAAAATTTTTTTTTTGTTTTTTTGTTTTTTTTTTTGTTTTTTCGAGACAGGGTTTCTCTGTGTAGCTTTGGAGCCTATCCTGGCACTCGCTCTGGAGACCAGGCTGGCCTCGAACTCACAGAGATCCGCCTGCAGGTGTATTTATGCACCATCTGTATGCTTAGTGGCTTCGGTAGCTAGAAGATCCCCTGGGGCTGGAGTTACAGATGGTCTGAGCTGCCATGTGGGTGCTGGGAATTGAATCCAGGTATTCTAGAATACCAGATAGTGTTCTTAACCAATTAGCTATGTTAACATTTCCTATAGACCATATTATTTGTCCTGAACAAATTAAGCAGATTTTGTTTCTGGGTTTTGGTACTAGAGTTGAACCCAGGGCTACATAAAAGAAGCACACACCATCACACTGAGCTAGAACCTTAGCCCCATTATAAATGTTTTATTAAATACTTCCTACTTAAGATTTCTTATTTTGAAATTATGGGAAGGAAAGTAGAAACGTGAGCTTTTGATAGATGTTGTGGGTCTGTGTAATATATACATGTCTAAGCAAATGTGTCCAGAGTTTTTAAAATGGAAAATTTCCCTCTTCTTTTTGAAGGACTCCTTCTTTCTCCTCAATCACTAGTGCCAACAGTGTTGATCTTCCTGCCTGTTTCTTCTTGAAATTTCCCCAGCCAATCCCAGTATCTAAAGCGTTTGTTCAGAAACTGCAGAACTGCACAGGTAAGCTCTTTTTTAAAAATGTTTGCCAAACTAGAATAAAGGTAATTTTTACCTATTAAGATAAAACCTACTTGTTATAAATGTGAATGGGAAACTTCAGATTATCTTAAACAATTTAGTTCTTTAGGCTTCAAAGGGTATAGATGTTAGGTGTCTTCTACTAGAAAATGCTGTATAAGTACTTCTTGAATATATAGGTGAATAAATAGCAAAATCATAAAAGGAAGATGGAGCTGTCATTAATCTGATCTTAATGTGATCATTATAATCAGTCCTTATATTTCCAGGGATCCCATTATTTGAGACTCCACCGACTTACGTGCCCCTTTATGAACTCATCACTCAATTTGAGTTGTCAAAGGATCCAGACCCCCTACCATTGAATCACAACATGCGGTTTTATGCTGTAAGTAGACCATGTGGAACATTTTTGGTTCTCTGTAGCATTAGTGAGGTCTGATAGGTGTCTTTCAGGTGGCTTAATCATCTTTAAGTCTTTAAGTTGGGCAAATAAGTCACCTGAAACATACTAAAAGGAAACAAGCTTGCACTTCTCTCTCTCTCGCTCTCTCTCTCTCTCTCTCTCTCTCTCTCTCTCTCTCTCTGTGTGTGTGTGTGTGTGTGTGTGTGTGTGTGTTTAATTTTATATGTGTCAATGTTTTGCTTTCATGTTTGTATGTATGTGCCCCACATGTGTGCCTGGTGCCTGAAGATCACCAAAACTGAAGTTTTAGGCAATGTGAGCTGCATATAGGTACTGTGACCCAAACTTGGGTCCTCTGGAAGAACAGCAAGTGGCTGTTAACCAAGGAGCATTCGTTCCCATTCTCATCTTTTTTTTTAAAGATAGGTTTATATATTTATTGTGTACACAGTGTTCTGTCTGCATGTATCCCTGCAGACCAGAAGAGGGCACCAGATCTCATTACAGATGGTTGTGAGCCACCATGTGGTTGCTGGGAATTGAACTCAGGACCTCTGGAAGAACAGACAGTGCTCTTAACTCCTGAGCCATCTCTCCAGCTCCCATTCTCCTCTTTTTTTCTAGACAGGCTCTCATGTAATCCAGGCTGGCATTGAGCTTAGCAGAGGATGGTCTCAGACCAGTCCTCTAGACTGCCCCGACTATAGGCACACCAAGAAATACCTACCAAGAAAGCCAGAACTGGCATTTGGGAGGCAGAAGCCTATAGGCACACCAAGAAATACCTACCAAGAAAGCCAGAACATGGCATTTGGGAGGCAGAAGCTTCAGGATTCCCTTTGACTTAGAGGATAACTTGGGCTATATACGAAGGCCTTTTCTCAAAACACATGAAAGAAAAAAGTTTTTTAGAATTGAAAATCTCTTAATGCTATCTTGAGCTTTTAGAAGTTTAAAGATGGGGCTGGAGAGATGGCTCAGTGGTTAAGAGCACTGACTCCTTTTCCAGAGGACCTGGGTTCAATTCCCAGCACCCACATGGCAGCTCACAACTGTCTGTAATTCCAGTTCCAGGGACCCAGCACCCATGGCAAAATACCAATGCACATAAAATAAAAATAAAAAATTAAAAAAAAAAAAAAGGTTAAAGATGTTAAGAATTGTTTCTTGAGGGCTTGGGTACACACACTTTTAATCCCAACCTTTGGAAGGCAGAAGCAGGTTGATCTCTGTGTTTGAGGCCCGCCTGGTCTATAGAGCTAGTTCCAGAGCAGCCAGGGCTGTGAAGGGAAACCCAGTCTCAAAAAAAGAAAGAATCAAAATAATTATTTCTTGGGCCAAATGTCAGTGAGACCCTGTTTCAAAAAGGAAAAAAGAAGATTTCTATTTACTTTTTTTAGAAGGTTTATTTATTTATAATGTATACCATGTTCTGCCTACATGTATGCTTGCATGCTTATAAATGGTTGTGAGCCACCATGTCATTGCGGCTTTGTAAGTCATTGAACTTAGGACATCTAGAAGGGCAGACAGTGCTCGTAACCTTTGGGCCATCTCTCTAGCTCCTTAATTTACTATTTTTATTTTATGTCTATGACTATTTTACCTGTGTGTATGTAAGTGTACTACATTTGTGTACACACGAAGGCCAAAAGATGCATCAGGTTCACCTGGAATTGGAGTTACAGACTGTTGTGAGCTGCCATGTGGATGGGTGCTGGGATCTGAGCACAAGTGAGGAGAGAGCAACAAGTGCTCTTAACTGCTGAGCCTTTTCCATTTCAGTGCAATGGACCGAGAATGAGAAAGATCATTTAAATCTGAATGGAGAACAAACTGCTGACATGCCAAATTATCAAAGGCCCCAGAAGCTCACCTGGGCTTGGATTTCATATGAATATTTAGAGTTTAGTTGCTACAACATAAAAGCTCTAGTTACATCATAAGTATACAGGATGTGATTTTTGTGTTAGGAATGCACCTTAATAGTACATTAAAAGACAGATATCCTTTAGCTAAACGAATAACTAGTTGGTATTCATGTTATTGAAGAGTTAATGTGTATGTGTGAAATGTATTACTTCCCATGCTTTTGGTGTGCCCTTGCCCCACCTTCGTATTCCTCCTGCCCCTTCCAGGACAGCTTGTGACTAGCTACAGTGTGTAAATAAATATCATTCATTTATTGGTTTATGCTCTTTTTGCCTAGGCTCTTCCAGGTCAGCAGCACTGCTATTTTCTCAATAAGGATGCTCCTCTTCCAGATGGCCAAAGCCTGCAGGGAACACTGGTTAGCAAAATCACCTTTCAGCACCCTGGCAGAGTTCCTCTTATCTTGAATATGATCAGACACCAAGTGGCCTATAACACCCTGATTGGAAGCTGTGTCAAAAGAACTGTTTTAAAAGAAGGTACTCTCTCTCCTTTTGATATACTTAGGAAGGTTAGTGCTGACTTCTCCTATGGTGCTTGAATTTCGTAGCTCATTTAAATACCCATGTAGCTTTAAAGACACCCAGGTCAACCAAGTAGCATGTCAGTGTAGCAGGTGTGGTGGCACATGTCTTTAACCTCCGTGCTATGGAGGCAGAGGCAGGTGGGTCTCAGTGTGCTCCAGTGTTGCCTGATCTGTAGAGCTGGTTCTGGGATAGCCAGGGTTACACAGAGAAACCCTGTCTCAACCATACTCCCACTCCCTCCCACCTACTCCCTGACCCCCTGCCAAAAAAAGATTGTCAATGTAAACAATTGGGAATTTAGTTTAATCACCACAAGTTATTTTGATGGAACTAATTTATTATACTTGGCATTCATAATAAAAGCCACTCTGTGTGTGTGTGTCTTTACATTTTGTATATTTGTTGCTTCAGCTCATTTTGTAGTTGAAGCTTGCCTTGAACTCACTATGTTTCCTAGGCTAGCCTTGAAATTGATGTGATCCTCCTGCTTCAGCCTCTCCTATGTTAAGATTAAGGTCTTTGGTGGCTGGAGAGATGGCTCAGTGGTGAAGAATACTGGCTGCTCTGAGTTCACACAACCAACTGAGTGGGATCTGATGCATAAAGTTGTACATGCAGATAGCGTACTCACATTTAAAAACAAATAAGTCAATCTTAGAAAGAAGGGAAGGAAAGGAAGGAAGAAAAAGAAAGGAAGAAAGAAAAGGATTAAGGTCTATACCAACATTCCTGTAGGCATGGTGTCTTTACCCCCTGTCTCTTGTTGCACTTTGAGAGAGGGTTTCTTGATAAGAAAGTGGAGATCATTATGAGTATTAGAGCTAGTCCTTAAAACACCATCCGGCACCCTGTTTGGAGAATCTAGGTCTGTAACTTTAAAAAGCTGACCTATGGTCCTTCCATTTTTTGTTTCTGGATTCTGAAAGGCTGTTTTTCTAACACAATTGGCTACTTGAAGATTTGATGAAAATTTTGACTACTCTAGTTAATCAGTTAATTTCTTACCTTGCTCAAATGGCATTCTAGTGATAGTTACCTAGTGTTAAATATGTATCAGTAGAATAACAAGAAACAGGATGTAAATCTCAAGAAGTGCTTTAGAAAATTTGTTTTGAGTTAGGGTCTCAGGTCCTCCAGAGAAGCTTGAACTGAGTATGCAGAGGAAGCTGCTCTTAAACTGATACTCCTGCTTTCACGTCTCAAGTGCTAGCATTATTTCCCATTTAAAAATGAGAATTAGGGGGGGAAAAAAGGATGTGTATGTGTGAATATTTGGGTCTAGGCCACTAGAATGTTTGACTTAAGAACCAGAATACCTGGCACAGTGGTGCATTCCTCTAGTTCCAGCCCTGGGGAGGCCGAGTCAGGTGAATCTCTGAAAAACCCTGTTTCAAAACAAACAAACAAAAAAACAAGTTATAGTTGTGGCTTTTAGGTATGGTATAGTAAGTATAGTTCTTGCCTACCACTGGTTAGGCCATGGTTTCAATTTGCCAGTGTGTGTTATTAGTTTGAGACAGGGTATCACTCTGTTTCCCTGGCTGACCGGGAACATGCTATAGAGGTTGGACTGGTCTCAATTGCTCTTCTCTAAGTGCTGAAATTAAAGGTCTGTGCCACTATGCCCACCTAAATACATCACTTTATATGATAGCCCTTACCTCTCTTTACCAGATTATATGCTGTATTGTTGACAGATATATATCTTGATAAAAAGTAGGTTTTAATCTGGTGCAGACTTTAATCTTAACACTAGCAAGCAAAGTCAGCTGGATCTCTACAGAGTCAGTTCTTGGTCAGCCAGGGCTGCATATTAAAACACTGTTTCAAAAACAAAAGAACAACCAACCAAAAAAAGTGGGTTTTATGGTAATAGTACTAGATGGCTACCTGTCAGATGTAATGAAAACACTAGTTGAGAGCTGGGCATGATGGTGAATACCAATAACCTCAGTACTAGAGAGGCTAAGACATGGTTATAGCTTCAAGAGTAGCCTGGGCTATACAACAAGATGATCATATGTTATAAAATGAAATAGAAAAGCAAAAATCTTTTCTTGACCATTTTTGGTTTCTGAATTCACTCTCAAGACAGTATGTCTACTAATTTTTTTTTGTTTAAAATTTTTTTCTATATTTATTTTATATGCATGAATGTTTTGCCTGTCTTGAATGTTTGTGTACACCATGTGTGAGCCTGGTGGTCAACTGGCTATTTCACTGTCTATATATAGACAATTATTTTTCTCATGTCTTAAATATGGTTATGATTTTTTTCCTTTTTTTTTTTTAGACACTCCTGGGCTCCTCCAGTTTGAAGTGTGTCCCCTCTCAGAGTCTCGCTTCAGTGTGTCTTTTCAGCACCCTGTGAATGACTCCCTTGTGTGTGGTGAGTTGTTGGGTGGAAACACCTTTCTTGGGGTGTATCTTTTCTTGAAAGGTGAGAGGTAGAAAGTATCACAAGTGTCTGTGTTTTGTCTTTCAGTGGTAATGGATGTGCAGGACTCAACACGTGTGAGCTGTAAACTCTACAAGGGGCTGTCAGATGCACTCATCTGTACAGATGACTTCATTGCCAAAGTTGTTCAAAGGTAGTGATGGCCCTTCCCATAAGAATCCCACTAAGATTTGTACAAAGTTTGTATGCTTTTATTTATTCGTGTTGTTTTTCAAGACAGGGTTTCCCTGTGTAGCCCTGACTGTCCTGGAACTCTCTGTAGACCAGGCTGGCCTTGAACCAGAGATCTGCCTGCCTCTGTCTCCAGAGTGCTGGGATTAAAGATGTATGCCATCATGCTATGCTATTTGCTTTTTATCTTTAACATGAGCTTAAAAACTAAAAGAGAAACATATGTCATTTTTTGAATTTACTATGCTTTGGGTAAAAAAATGTGAATTTTGTTTGTTATTTAAATATCACTATGAGAGCAAAGTGGGTAAGGCTAGTAATTTCAATCCTTGTTATTAAGATACTTTTCAGGTGAGATAGCTGAAAAAGATGCATTTTTTTCTTTCTTTCTTTCTTTCTTTTTTTTTTTTAAAGACAGGTTCTCATTGTTGCTGACATAGAACTTACTATTTAGGACAGGTGGACCTTGAGATTGGTCTGCCTCTACCTTGTGAGTGCTGAGGTGAAAAGGCAGACATAACTATGCCTAGCTTAAACATTTTTTTTTCTTTAACTTATTCTCTTTTTAAAACATTTTAAGAGATATACCATGTTAAATGACAATGTGGAAGTTAATATTTAAATCAGACAGCTTCCTGGAAACATTAATATGTAATTTTGAAATATTTCTAAAGTAGGGGGTTGACAGCTTGTTTTTAAAATTAGATGTTGTTCATTGAAGTTTTGAGACAGGGTCTCATATATTCCAAGCTGACCTTGATAATGTAACAAAGGATGAACTTGAACTCCTCTCATTCTGCCTCAACTTCCTGAGTGCTTTCATTCTTGAGCCACCTCACGCCTTGTATTTGGTGCTGGGGAGCAGGCCTGGGGCCTTGTGCATAGTAGGCAAGACTGTAATTGAGCCCCATCCCCATGCCTCAAAATACATTTTAAGATTCCCATTAAATTTTACTGTAACACTGCTGTTCATTTTACATATCTCTGATAGCTTTTCACTTTCAAGCAAAAATGTCAATTTGTAGGACAGAACACTTACAGTTTACAATGCCCAAAATACAGTTGTTTAGCATAAAATAGACAAGATTTGCTGACATACATACTAGAGCAAATGTTTTCAAAAGTATGTTTATAGTCTAAATTTACCTAGAGGTTAGAAGTATTGTGCCTTAAGATGAGCAGTGCTGCATACCAATAATAGTACTTTTCAAAAGTACTTCTGGTATTGTCAATGGGTTCCTTAGTGGTTGCATATTTACCACCTGTGGCCAGGTGAAGCCACCCCAAAGGAAGGTATTTTCTTACTGAGTTCCATCATCATTCTAGTTCTTGTTTCCTCTGTATTTTTTCACTTTTGAGACAGGGTCTGGCTGTTGTAGTTCAAACTGGCTTTGAACTCAGAGTTCTTGTCCAACCCTTGCCTGAGGACTAGCTTTCTTTTATTCAGTGTGAACTATTTTAAGATTCAGGTTTGGCTTTATTTAGTGTGTGTTTCATGAGCAGTTAATAATTGCCTGTTGGATCACAATTCTTAGCTTTGGAATTTGATAAAATTATCTGTCTTATAGATTCCTTGCCTTATCTGAAAATTGTTAACTACAAAGTTGTGAGGCTTATCTGAACCTCAAATTTATTGTTCCAAATAAATGTTAGATTTAGTCATCAGCTAATGAATGCAGTGCTAACATTTTTTTTTTTTTTTTTTTTTTTTTTTTTTTTTTTTTTTTTTTTTTTTTTTCCTATCTTGCAGATGTATGTCCATCCCTGTGACGATGAGGGCTATTCGGAGGAAGGCTGAAACCATACAGGCTGACACCCCAGCACTGTCCCTCATTGCAGAGACAGTTGAAGACATGGTGAAAAAGAACCTGCCCCCGGCTAGCAGCCCAGGGTATGGCATGGCCACAGGCAACAACCCAATGAGTGGTACCACCACACCAACCAACACCTTTCCGGGGGGTCCCATTACCACCTTGTTTAACATGAGCATGAGCATCAGAGATCGGCATGAGTCGGTGGGCCATGGGGAGGACTTCAGCAAGGTGTCTCAGAACCCAATTCTTACCAGTTTGTTGCAAATCACAGGGAACGGGGGGTCTACCATTGGCTCGAGTCCGACCCCTCCTCATCACACGCCGCCACCTGTCTCTTCGATGGCCGGCAACACCAAGAACCACCCGATGCTCATGAACCTTCTTAAAGATAACCCTGCCCAGGATTTCTCAACCCTTTATGGAAGCAGCCCTTTAGAAAGGCAGAACTCCTCTTCCGGATCACCCCGGATGGAAATGTGCTCGGGGAGCAACAAGACCAAGAAGAAGAAGTCATCAAGAGTACCACCTGACAAATCCAAGCACCAGACCGAAGACGATTTTCAGAGAGAGCTTTTTTCAATGGATGTCGACTCACAGAACCCTATGTTTGATGTCAGCATGACAGCTGACGCGCTGGATACACCTCATATCACTCCAGCTCCAAGCCAGTGTAGTACTCCCCCAACAACTTACCCACAACCAGTATCTCACCCCCAACCCAGTATTCAAAGGATGGTCCGACTATCCAGTTCAGACAGCATTGGCCCAGATGTAACTGATATCCTTTCAGACATTGCAGAAGAAGCCTCAAAGCTTCCCAGCACTAGTGATGATTGCCCACCCATTGGCACCCCTGTTCGAGATTCTTCAAGTTCTGGTCATTCTCAAAGTGCCCTCTTTGATTCTGATGTCTTTCAAACTAATAATAATGAAAACCCATACACTGATCCAGCTGATCTTATTGCAGATGCTGCTGGAAGCCCTAGTAGTGATTCTCCTACCAATCATTTTTTCCCTGATGGAGTAGATTTCAATCCTGATTTGTTAAACAGCCAAAGCCAAAGTGGTTTTGGAGAAGAATATTTTGATGAAAGTAGTCAAAGTGGGGATAATGATGATTTCAAAGGATTTGCATCTCAGGCACTAAACACTTTAGGGATGCCAATGCTTGGAGGTGATAATGGGGAGACAAAATTTAAGAGTAGTGGCCAAGCTGACACAGTTGACTTCAGTATTATATCAGTAGCTGGTAAGGCTTTGGGTCCTGCAGATATTATGGAGCACCACAGTGGTAGTCAGAGTCCTTTAATGACCACTGGAGAATTAGGGAAGGAAAAGACTCAAAAGAGGGTAAAGGAAGGCAATGGCACTGGTGCTAGCAGTGTATCAGGTCCTGGGTTAGACAGCAAACCAGGCAAGCGCAGTCGAACTCCTTCCAATGATGGAAAGAGCAAAGATAAGCCTCCAAAGCGGAAGAAGGCAGATACTGAGGGAAAGTCTCCATCTCACAGTTCTTCTAATAGACCTTTCACGCCACCTACCAGTACAGGTGGGTCCAAATCTCCAGGCAGTTCAGGAAGGTCTCAGACTCCCCCAGGTGTTGCCACCCCGCCCATTCCCAAAATCACTATTCAGATTCCTAAGGGAACAGTGATGGTGGGTAAGCCTTCCTCTCACAGTCAGTATACCAGCAGTGGTTCTGTGTCTTCCTCTGGCAGCAAAAGCCACCATAGTCATTCTTCTTCCTCCTCTTCCTCGTCTTCTGCTTCCACCTCAGGCAAGATGAAAAGCAGTAAATCAGAAGGCTCATCAAGTTCCAAGCTAAGTGGCAGTATGTATTCTAGCCAAGGGTCTTCTGGATCCAGCCAGTCCAAAAATTCATCTCAGACTGGAGGGAAGCCAGGCTCCTCTCCCATTACCAAACATGGACTGAGCAGTGGATCTAGCAGTACCAAGATGAAACCTCAAGGCAAGCCATCATCACTTATGAATCCTTCTATAAGTAAACCAAACATATCCCCTTCTCATTCAAGGCCTCCTGGAGGCTCAGATAAGCTTGCCTCTCCAATGAAACCTGTTCCTGGGACCCCCCCATCCTCTAAAGCCAAGTCCCCTATCAGTTCAGGTTCTAGTGGTTCCCACATGTCAGGAACTAGTTCAAGCTCTGGCATGAAGTCATCTTCAGGGTCAGGATCCTCAGGCTCATTGTCTCAGAAAACTCCCCCAGCATCTAATTCTTGTACACCATCTTCCTCCTCATTTTCCTCAAGTGGTTCTTCCATGTCCTCCTCTCAGAATCAGCATGGGAGTTCCAAAGGGAAGTCTCCCAGTAGGAATAAGAAGCCTTCCTTGACAGCTGTCATAGATAAACTGAAGCATGGGGTTGTTACCAGTGGGCCTGGGGGTGAGGATCCAATGGACAGTCAGATGGGAGTAAGCACAAACTCTTCTAACCATCCCATGTCCTCCAAACATAACATGTCAGGAGGGGAATTCCAGAGCAAGCGTGAGAAAAGCGATAAAGACAAATCAAAGGTTTCTACTTCAGGAGGCTCAGTGGATTCTTCTAAGAAGACCTCAGAGTCAAAAAATGTGGGGAGCACGGGTGTGGCAAAAATTATTATCAGCAAACATGATGGAGGCTCCCCTAGCATTAAAGCCAAAGTGACTCTACAGAAACCTGGAGAAAGTAGTGGAGAAGGGCTCAGGCCACAGATAGCCTCCTCAAAAAACTATGGTTCTCCATTGATCAGTGGTTCCACTCCAAAGCATGAACGTGGTTCTCCCAGCCACAGTAAGTCTCCAGCATACACGCCCCAGAATGTGGACAGTGAAAGTGAGTCAGGTTCCTCCATAGCAGAAAAATCTTACCAGAACAGTCCCAGCTCAGATGACGGTATCCGACCTCTTCCAGAATACAGCACAGAGAAGCATAAGAAGCACAAAAAGGAAAAGAAGAAAGTCAAAGACAGAGACCGGGACAGAGACAAAGACAGAGACAAGAAAAAATCTCACAGCATCAAGCCAGAGAATTGGTCTAAATCGCCCATTTCCTCAGATCAGACACTGTCTATGACAAATAACCCAATCTTATCTGCAGACAGGCCTTCAAGGCTCAGCCCTGACTTTATGATGGGGGAGGAAGACGATGATCTTATGGATGTGGCCCTGATTGGCAACTAAGAACGTTATTTTCTAAACAGATATGTCCAGAGAAGAAATTAGATATATTTACATGTAAACCAACACAAGGGGTGAGTCAGATAGGCTTAAGAGTCCTGTTGGGCATGGCCTCTACACCAAGCTGGGTACATTTTAAAAGTATATCTAAACCCTACTAAAGGGACCATAGGGTTGGTCGTTCACCAACAAGTCATATTTCTTTGCCAGAAAGAAATGTTAAAAAATACTTGCTTAAGAAAGGGAGGGGGTGGGAAAGGGTATAGAGAGGGAAGGGTGGGAAAAATGTTGTGGGAAATATTCATATATATTTTTTTCTCCCTTTTTCCATTTTCAGGACATGCTTTAAACTCATTTTAGTGCATGTATTTGAAGGGCTGGGCAGAAAATGAAAAAAAGCAATACATTCCTTGATGCATTTGCATGAAGGTTGTTCACCTTTGGTGGTTGTCCATTTGAAGCATGGGCAAGGGAAGGACTTTGACAGTTTTGGACACTTAAAGTTTTGGTGTCTGTTTCTTAGGAGTGATTGGGGAGGGAAAATTATTTTAGCTATTTATTTGTAATATTTTAATCCTTAATGTTTGTTTTTATGCAATGTTTGTTCTTAAATCTATGAAGGTTATGGTTCAGAATGATAGGCAGGAAGGGCAAGGTTTGTTTCATGGTGGGGAGCTTGCAGTTTTTGCTGATGTTGCTGCATCAAGCCCACACAGGCTAATCAGAGCCAGTCTTTGGAGTTAAATAGAAAAACCAAAACTATTATCTTCAGAGGTTTTTCACAGGGTTCAGACATCATAGGAATAATAGGAATTACCTCCCTATGCAGTTAAAAGATTTATCTTTTTTCGTTAAAAAGGAAGGGTGGCTTTTGGGAGTATAAATATGTTTTCAGATTCAATACCCTATGGTATGAAAACCATTACAGAATTAATAGTTCTCCTAGTTCCACATGTGCCAAATCTACATCCCAGCATCATGTTTGCGGGAGAGCTGATGCAATTCCTATGAGCTGGACTCTTTCTCTTCATCACAAGAAAGAGGAGTTCAGACTTCAGTCACTCTACTGTATGCCCCCCGAGAGAAACAGTTTTAAAAAATGCAGCCATAGTTCACTTAAAACAATTTCAAGCTCACTTGAAGTAATAGGGGCCTGGAATGCTAAGTGAGCATGAAGATAAACCTTGCTACTGTGTAGCACACAGTTGGACCTTTTTGGAGAAACAGGTCTGAGTCTGGATTCTGAGGGACATCAAATGAAGCCCTTCTCATAAATAGAGAAATCCAGGAGACCATTTTGAGTGCAACAGAAATTCTCAGTATTTGGAGGGTCCTCTCAAAAATCCGCGGCCTTACTTTGATTTTGCCACCTGCACTGTGCCATTCCTGATGATTCTGTTCAGGATCTCTATCAGCGGGATGGGGCATAATCCCCAGCACAACTCTTCTGGATTACAAAAAGGAAAAAAAAAAAAAGCCAGGTGATTCATGTTTGTGTATGTTATAAGTGGAGTGACTTCATCAGATGTGGACGATTTCTATCTATATCCAACTCTGCAGGTTGGAGTTAGCATAGACTTGGAAAATCTACTGTGGCTTTCTTTCCTGACTGTTTCTCATTTTCTTTGGTGTTCTCCCTTTTCTGATCACCGGTTCTCAACAGCTCTGCCACTTCTGTGTCCCAAGGCAATAAATAGGAAACAAAACTTTGTAAAGTGGAACAAGAAAAGTTACCTGTTACCCTATCAGAGTCCACTGTCTCGGGTGACACTAACGAGGACATGGGGAAGGTGACACTGGAGTGTGTTATCTTGTGGTGCTGATGCAGGTGCAGTGTCTCAGATATACAACCAGGTTGTATTTCTCAGAAGTTTGCCACTTGGTTCTGAATCCTATCCTCTTAATTTCTGCAGGAAAGTTAAAGTTACATGGTGTTGCAGTTTGTTCTGGGTGGGGACGATCTCGTGGGGAAATGTACTGCATAGTATAAGGGGCTCAGTCCCCCCAAGCAGAGCCAACAAATACCAAAATGAGTAAACTGGGAAGCTTTTTCTCTCTTTCTGTCTTCATCCCAGATCAAAGAATCCCGAGTTAGGATCTGGATGAAGGATAAGCCCCTGAATTGTCGATGGGCACGCCCCACACAATGACCCAGCATCTGAACTTGCTTAACAGGGAGCCGGGCTAAACCGCTTCACCCTGCCTGGGAACCAGGGAGCACTGCATTTCTCCACAGGGTGGAGGAGAAGAGGCAGAATAAACCAAGCCTGGAACACCTCCCTCCCATCCAGGTGTATTCATTCTCCTGTTTCAAAAGACGGCAAGGACATGAAATCAACTTCTACCTGTTTGCTGCTGCTGGACTTTTTGTATTTTTAGTTTGACCTGATTATTCTGTCTTTTGGCTTCATGTTAAGGGTCTTTGGGCAAAATCTGCTCTGATGTACAAGAATATTTCAGATTCAAATCAGTATCTTAAAACAAATGTTTCCAAGGTGAGGAAGGGGACCTGATATAATTGCCAAAGCCAGCTTGAGGTTGATAACTCTTGGATTGGATTTTCACTTTGTCAGGCCAAGGTCTGCAAACTTAGAACAGCAATATCATGAGTTTTCAGAAAGAGCCAGTGAGTCACATAGTATCCACAGTTGAGTCACAGCAGATGTCAGTATAGACAACATTCACAATCCCTGAGTAATCTCATTTTCTATTTTATTTTCATCTTTAACCCTGCCCCACAATTATTTGTCTTAGAGTTAACTTTTAGAGGGGCAGGAAGTATTATTATCTTAGAAACTAGGTTGGGAAACATGCTCAATGATAGAGCTGAGCTTTAAATTTTGAGTTAAAAATGTACATCAGGAGCAGTGGGAAGGGTCTTAAAGTGTTTCCATTTGGTTTTCTGTGTGTATGGCTGTTCTGTAAATATTTTGGGTTTTTTTTTCACTTTTTGAAAATCTGTGGGATTTCCCCCCTATAAAACATTATAAAAAAAACTTGTTTCTTTACATGCAAATAAATTTCTTTGATAAAATGAATATACTTCTGAAGGGTTTGTTTGTCATTATGCAGCCCTGGCTGGCTTGGAACTCACTATTTAGACCAGGCTGGCCTGTGTTGTGTTTTTGAGACTAGGTTTTATGTAGTCCAGCCAGATCTTGAACTCATCTTCCTGCCCTCTCTTCCCAATAGTTAGGGTGATGGGCTTTTGTTGTTTTGTGATTTGTCTCTTTGAGACAATGGTTCTAGCTAGCCCAATCCTCCAAGAGCTTGCCATATAGTATGACCCAGCACTCCATGCATTCCTAACTGCCTCAGCCTCCTGAGTGATGGGATATGAGTTATTACCATAAAAGCTTATCTTTTGAATATTTTCAATTGGTAAGCATCTCAAAATCCAAATTAAAGACAGTGACTTACTTCCTTGAGTATTCTAAATGGACCCACAGGAATGCATAGTTGGTAGACCCAAGAGAAAGGCCTGTTTTGTTTTTGTTTTTTGTTTGTTTTCCTATGTTTGATTTGTGTGTGCCATTTTTCTCACTTTTTCCTATCTTGTAGTTGTGACAATATACTTTTTTTTCCGCACTGGCTGAAAGTAAAGCAGATGCTTAAGCATGTAGGATTCAAAGAGAATGCAACATTCGGATCTAGTTTTTTTTTTTTTTTGTGGGCCCAAGAACTGAGTTTTTTGAAGTGAGTTTGTTTATGAAGACCTCTTTCAGGAGAAAAAGTTTGGCCAGGATTGGTGACATGCCTTTAATGACAGAATTAGGGAGTCTGAGGCAGATGCATCTCTGGAGTTAGAGGCCAGTCAGAGTTCCAGGACAACTGGGGTTACATAAGCCTTGTTTAAAAAATATCAAAAAAAAGTGATTTATGGTCAATAAGCTACAATAAGTTTGCAACACTTGTTGCTTTTAAATGTTCATCTTGATCACACTAATTAAAGAGGGTGTGAGGGAAAACTCGTAACTGCTTTGAGTATACAATTAAAAGCAATGTTGTGGCTTCATGGAGCACGGGCGCTATTTATGATAGTTTTTAATACTTCAGGATTCGTGCGCTGTAATTTCTCTTTGAAGGGGTAACTCACTCTAGATTGTTTCATAATTCATGGACCATAAGAATCCTGAAGGCTGGAGTTTACATTAATAACACGATGACACCGACTAGTTTCTACACTAGTAGCGTAGTCCAATGACAACGAAAGTCCCTTGGGCAAACGCCCCCGCCTACTCGCTCTTACATGCTTGTTTCTCCCGCCGAAATGGCGTCAGGTTGAAGCTCTCACCAACCAGCGTCCTGATTGGAGGGTGGGCAGCCATCACAGCCCATTGGGTGCCACCGGCCGGAGGGGCGGGGATGCCGAGGGCCCTTGTGCCTTGCTCTGCCCCAACCCCACCGGTGCCCGCCCCTCCCCCGGCCCCCGGAATGGGTGCCGGGCTGGGGCATTGCACCCCTTGACCCTAGGGTGAAGCCTCACTACCTGTCCCTGCGCAGAGCTGGGCGCTCGGTCCGCCTCTTAGCGCCACCCGCTCCTGCCTTCGGGAGCCAAGCGCTGAGAGAGCCGCCCCGCAGCGGCCCCCCAGGCTTCCCCGCTGCACCCCGTAGTGCAATTCACCGGGGCGGGGGAGGCGGCGGCGGCGGCTGCACCCACGGCGGCGGCCCTGCCCCAACCCAGAGACGTCTAGAAAAAGGAGGAAAAATGGCTCCGAGCAGGGACCGCCTGCTGCACTTTGGGTTCAAGGCGACAGTGAGTGAGAGAGGACGGGAGTTGGGTGGCCAGGACGATGTGGGTGCCAGCTCAGGCCGCCGGGCAAGTGACTCGACTCGGGCTGGGGACTGCAAGCTGAAAGCTCGCCCAGGTTCCGCGTGGGTCGGTGCGTGCCGGGGAGTCTTCGGAGCGGCGGGGAGGGTTCCGGTGAGGCTCCTTCCTTCGCG